TTTCACAAGTAAAATGCTAATACACTGCGCGTAATGACAAAAAAATAATTGTTGTCGACGCACCATGAAGGATTTATCTATGTGATAACGCCACCGCCACGGTGTCTTTGTGTACATAAGCGGTCAACGCGATGCACAGTAAATCCGTCAAGTGCCACAAGTGTATCTTCTACGTCCTCGTGCAGCCATGTTTCTTGTAGCATAATGACACCAAGTTGGGAGTATTCGCGACAGCTTGTTATACTTTTAAGCTCTTCTAATTTGCTCACAAGCGAACGGATGTTGGCACTGATCAAAATAGGTTAACTTATACGGATTAGATATTTCCTTCGAAATGCAACCCACCATCCTGCGGGGTGTTTTCTTGTGGAACTACTTTGCTTCCCTTTGATTCTTTTCCATTTGTCCCGTACAGAGTGATCAGGAAAAAGTGCGGGGTTTGTTCTTAAAAACGCGCATTTTTTAGAATGTTGCGACCGTAGGTAATCATGACGAAATTCGCACAACGACAAACTAATGAATTGAGACAATTGGGTAATAATATAGTGAAGCTGAGCGTGTGTGTTGATAAATCCGGTGGACAGGAATCACAAAGAACGGCCGAATTAGAAGGTCCCGCCATCGTATTGCCGATCGTGTGGTGTGTTAATTAGGTTCCTCGTGTGTTGGGTTAAATGAAAGTACCATTCCAAATACATGAATGTTTTGAGAAAATTGTAAACGCTTTACTACACAAGTGAAGTGCTAGAGTTCATGGTTTAGTGAATACGGCTTACTTATCCCACTTCGCGAGATTCGAGTTGCGTACCAGACTCGAGTACGGTTTTCCCATATTTTACCCGAATGCTATTATGTGGTATGTTTTCCATCCCACTAACAGTTGGTGTAAAATATTTGTGCCTAAGATTTTATTACAAATATTTCATTCTGAGGTAAACAATTCTTTTCAGTGATTCATCTACGAGTCAGTACCATCACATAAGGATAAACTACGAAGGGATGGATGGTGATAGGTTCGGGGGTTTGTTCTGAACTGTCTCAGTCAATATTTAGACTGTAAATAGTTCGCTGCTCTCTCATTCACACAGATCGATTTAGCGTTACGTAATCACAATGTCTGAGCCGATGTCAGGGTGACGGCTGGACTGATGGCTGTTCGGCTAAGGCAGATATAGAGATTGAACAAACTTTTTCTGCGAGCACAGCGGGGGTTGCAATATGCGGATCGCAACAGCCTCTGCAGTGTCGAACATCCTTAATCGTGAACCTTTCGATTCGCTCATTGGAACCTGATAAATCACAGTGAAGACATTCGGGAGGTTAATACGGTGACCTGATTCGAACATCTGGGACAAAATACCGGTTATAAAAACTCTGGTGTCCCCTTCACTAACTGTTTAGGGTTATGTTGTTTACTGCGACGCGAATTTGAAGAGTCGTCCGTCCGATATATCTTCTCCCACTAGTGCACTCAAATCGATAGATAACATAAGTACAGGTCAGCTTCGGCAGTCTATCCTGTTTGCACACAGGAATTAGCTGGTTTCTGGCGAAGATGCCTCGTAATCCCGCATCCAAAAATGTGTTCCTCATCGATTACGTCAATTTTCTTGTTGGTGGCTCAGTAACTGTATCACCTTTAAAACCAAGGTGGATGAAGAGGGCCTTTTGCGCGACTGCGTCCTTAACGGCCGGTGTTATTTTGGGCTGCATGTTGCGCTAAATGAATCTTTCTGGATAACCATTTTCACGCTTTGTTCTGGATGGATTTCATCGCATCCTCCAGAACGTTCTCAGAGCATCTTTCTCGCCCTTAAAGTGAGACAATATACTAAGTTAAGCTTGTATTTAAGCGGTACAAAACTACTGAAATTTGTATACTGACCGGTCCACATCTTTCTGTTGGTCTTCCTTAATTTGGAACCGTCAGTTCGTCTACTAAGGTAAACATCCAGGAATGTGGGTTGACCAGCTTGTTCAAGTTCATAGATGAACTTAATCACCGGGTGCACACCAGCGAACTCTATCAATCTACCCTCCAAAGCCATGTATTTATGGGTCGCACAAAATTGGTCATCTATATACCGATAGTAGTGGCCCAAACGATCTATAAGTGGACCGAATGATTCAGTTTCTACTTTGGTAAGAAAAATATCCGCCAGCACTGGTCCGAGTTGGGACCCCATTGCGAACCCATCGTTCGTCGACAATATATGTTGTCGAAAAGAAATTGAACGTTGTAGGTGCATCTCAGAAGCAATTCTTTCAGGTTTGGCAAGGGTATAGCTAAATGAATGCTGTTCTCGTGCGCATAGTTTCATAGATATTCTATTGTCTCTAGCAGCGGAACATTCGGGAATAAAGACGCAACATTAAGTGGGAACATTTTATTCCCCTTCAGGTTACCATCTTTGATGCGCTCTACGAATGTAAAACTATCCCGAGGACTACGTTACGCAATACATTTTCTTATTGGCGCCAACAATTCTGCCAACCGCTGGGCTGTAGGAAGACATGCAGAATTTGTCATGGACAATACTGGGCATATACACCTTTTTTGTTAACTTTTTGCAGTCCATACATTCTCGAGATAGATGTTCTGATTGGTCTCAGACGTTCAAACCTACTACCAGGTATAAAACCAATGGTGGATTGATCTTTCAGGCATTTCGACAGATTTTGTTCCGTTTTGTCTGCTTGATCCTTCTCGCCTACTTTTACACGAAACTTCGTTTTGTCCCGGTGAATCTGGCGTAATTTCGAGATGCAATCACTTCCATCCATTAAAATTATCCCACATCCCTTAGCTGGCTTGCATATGAATATATCTTTGTCGATTTTTAACTCTGTCAGGGATTTACATGTTTACGAGTAAGCAAACCGCTTTGATATACCTGGTGGTTTTGCTATCGGTAACAGAAAGTGACCAAAGAGGACTTACAACATTCAAGAGCATCAGTTGATAGCGCGATTAAAGCTTTCGTTTGTGCTAACCGGTTTTCAAATTGGGTCTCGGTATCTAGCTGACGCTCGTTAGTTTTAGGATACCAGAAATTCTAACCGAGTGACAAAACTTCAAGCAGTTCAGGTGAAAGCGCAAATTTTACATAATTGTGAACCTAATTTGCCGGAAAATAGCCTGTGACTTCATGGGGCTAAGTGATCATGCCAATGCATCACGTTTCTTCTGCACACTTTACGATCTATTGAACATAATCCACAAACTGCTGATGTTCCGCTGCAGTGAGCGCATCAACTATCTATATCTGCTCTGGCCGAACTACCATCAGTCTAGCCGTCACCCTGACATCGGCTCAGGCGTTGTGATTACCTAACCCCCAGTTAATCTGTGTGAATGAGATAGCGGCGAACGATTTGCCCTCTGACCATTGGCCGAGTCATTTCAGAACAAATCACCGAATCAATCACTATCCATTCCTTTTGTAGTTTAACCTTGTATGATTGTATCGGCCCGCAGATGAATCATTGAAAACGATGGTTTGTCTTAGACTGGTGTTCTTGATGAACTACTAAGAATGTTTCGTATATTGAAATATTTTTCTCTGAACCGTGCCGCGAAAGCCGAAAAGAGATAAACTGACAAGCAGTCAATGTAAAGGCTAACTAAAAGTTCTGCTTAGATACATGAAAAGTGCGTTAATCCTCCAGATAGTGCATTTATGCTCAATGTAATCTTGGGATATCTGATCTGGTTAGGTCAGTCAATACTCGGTTACCCTGCTATCGGGATTACCACTGGCATTGTAACTCACGTATCTAAATTTGTGTTTTAATGATTAGAAACACTGAATTATTCTCCGCTAATCATTCACCGTTTGTTAGCCGTGCTATTTTATTTGTAGGAGGTATTCGTGATATACTTCAACATTTGCGATGCTGAAGTCAAAATTGCTTATACTTCAGTTTCTATAGCTATAGATGCTATACTATCTGGATGGTTTAACATAAGTTTTCTTATTCGCCTTTTTGCAAATATGCAAGAAATTCCTTATTCTGTCTTGTTATCGATGTCTACATGCAATAGGATGGGGTGTAAAAGCAGGTTATTACGACTGTCAGTTACCGGAAGTAGACGTCAGATTACCTAATTAAAAGGAAACGATTGCAAAGCAACTCAATCGATGACTGCGTGATTAGCTAAGCGCAACCATGAGTTCAGCATTTAATTCGGTCTTACTTTAACACTTGAGCAGTTGACGTGTAACACCAATGAAGTGCTTCGTTTGTCACCGCCCCGGTTATGGGGAATCATGGAAGGAAAATGTGCTACCAAGCACTACGCTTACTGCATTGAAAAGTGTCCTATAATGGAAGGCATGCGATTCCGAAATACCTAAGGGCATAGTAGAACGTCGGATCCGACACAGCAGCTATGTCTATCTTATCTTCATCCAGCTACTAGGTTGCAGCGCATACAATTTGTTACTCGGGGTCTATAGATGACCTTACCTTCTCATGGCATCCACCTTTTTGTACTTCCAGAGTGTGACTTATCATTCCGCATTCTACATGAACTGTCCAACTAGCATTAAATAAGTCAGCGCGAGATGTATTTTTAGGCCTACGGTTTTCACGCATCTTTCTCCAGTCTGGTAGAAACTGACTCCTCAGTAAGATTGACGTACAGGTAAATACCTGGGTAAGGAAAATATAGGCGTGCATATTCATCTCGACCGACTACTCGATAACTCACTATCCCAAGTCCTTTTCTGCAAGCCACTTTTCAAGCCATTAGAGCCGGGGCGCATCTTCTCACCCGAGCAATTAGCCAAAGGCGGTCATCGCATTCCAAGTCTTCCGAGTACTTCACTGGCATCCAGTCAGATTATTCCATCGAGATGTCACGTTTAACATCAAAAGCGTCTTCACCCGAACACATTTTTGCTAAGCTTGTCTATTTTTAATTCGATGTACTCAGTGTTCGACGTCTGATTCACATCCTGATACAGTTTACCATGACGACTTTATTTTTAATCCAGCAACTCCCTCGCCGCAAATCTGGATTCACAACGAATGCGGCACGGTTGACTGAAAACGAGTTTAAAAATAGGTACCGCGACATATCACCCTGTGAGTTATGCACGTTATTCCCAACGACTATTCCATTATCTTACAATTTTCCCCTATCATCACATGTTTATACCATTTGCTTAGTGCTGTCAACTTCATGATTAGGTTAAATAAACCACTATTCTACTCGGTAGTTGAGCTTGGAGCTTATACACATTCCCTGGAGTGATTCCGATTAGTGGAACTAGCTTAAAGGATGCTCTTTCTCCTTTATATACATTTTTTCTATATATCTCACATTTGCCATTCGATTTTCGCAAGCAGTTGTACAATATTCAGTGACGTTTCGGCTTTTTGGTTACCCAACTAGCTGAGCTTAATAAGCTCATGCCCATCATTGGGGGGGGAGAGTAACGAAGCACGAAAACTTAGGTACACCGTAAAGTGTCCTAGTTACTGAACAGAAAAATAGATTTCATCTACATCGACGACATTTCGTGCTTGTATCGTAAACTTTCTCATGTTCCGTTGTCCTCACCATGAGCACACTGTGTTCCTTTCTACTCACAGACGATCAGACACGTGTAATCCTTCAACGAGGACCCGGTGATTATATCAACGCAAGTTTCGTGATCGTAAGTTGTTTACCCGGATTGCGTTTTCCCTAATCTCTTTTACAATACGCAGTTTCTTCTCGAGTGCTCAATAGTTATTGATGGTCAAGTCCAAATTAACAGAGAGATTAAGTGGCTTGCTCCCGATGCGGTTTGTACATTCGGACAGCTACAAGTGGGCACTTTCGCCAAATCACCAATCCTTCGTGCATTATGCAGTGGGCGCCTAGCACCAAGCGCCTCATTCGAAATCATCAACAGTGTATTTGGTAATTCTGTGGACCCACCTCAATTGAAGTCCACCAACCCAGTGAGTTAAGCCACAGTTAACACCCTTCGAAGAGTCGATGGACTACGAAGATGAATTGGTTCATAATGGCTGTTCATTTCCGTATGGTCTATTTACGGTGGAAAAGCAGCAGTTTAATTGTTGTCTATGAAGCAAAATTAGAGCAAACCTTACCCTCGCTCAAAGCAGCATATACGTAACTGGAAAAGTCATAGCTGGATGTATTTCTCTTAAACATTAGATGCATTCATAGATGAGATCTGCTCTCTCAAATGCCTATCTCTAACATCGCCGTTGAACCAACCTTGCTTGGGCTACGCAAGGAAGCGTTGCTTACTTGGAAATCTTGCTGAGTACCATGCATTGGTATCATAGTTGATTTACCTATTTTCTGGTTGCCAAATATAGGTTCGCAGAAGATAACCACTGTATACCAGACCATATTTTTCAACTCCATCATAAATAGCTGCCTTGCGTTTTATCGTTTGGTGATAAAATCCATGTGTCTGCGGGTGTTCAATCAGCTCGGAGTACACCCGCACACCCTCATCGATGTGTCTGTTTTGATACTCATGGAAGCAACTAACTTTCACATATTCATGATATTCGCGGCGCGTTTGCCTTGGCACCATAAAGACCATGGGATAGTCAACACCTTTTACGCGCGTGAAATTTTACCGGTTATCTAGGTTGCTCCTAACGGCAACGCAGTGACTGTCGCCTTTTGTGGATTTATTTCCCACACCCTAGTCTAGTGACATTGAGTCATCTGGCCAAAGTATCAACTCTCAGGTTTACAAAGTGAACCACACAGTTTCCCAAGAGTCATCCTAATGGGTCCAAAGCTTTTTTCTGCTACCAGACGTGTTGCCGTTTTGGTAATTTTAGGAAAACTGCACTTTCAACTTTGTTAGTAGAGTTGCAGTCATTCGTTTGCTAATTACTCCTGATGATGATATAGTGGTCAGGGTCCATTAGACTGTGGTGCAATTCAATTGGTTGTTGGTTTTCCATTTTCCTTGAGCGTAAGCAACACTGGTCTGTAACGATGAAAGCAAAGAATTTTCTCATATAAACGCAAACTTCTTATCAGTGACAAACGGACCTAGCTTATTTCAAATAATTCAGGTTTCACGTTGGTGTTGCAAAACCATTCACTGGTTTGACTGTGATGTACAAAAGCACGTCAGATTGAAGTCGCTTCACAGACATTCCAAATGCGTATCATTCGCAGTTAGTTGTGTACGCGAGTTCAATAATCAAAAAACTGTTTCACAAAGGGCACTGTTCGTTAGTCGATAGCTTGTTTCCATTGGTTTCCATGCTCTCTATCATCTCACATACAGATGGACTTCCCAAAAGCCGGATTTGCCGTGAACTATATTGCTGCTCAAGGCCCGCTACTTAGCACATACGGTGACTTCTGGCAAATGTGTTGGGAACAGCATGTCACGGTGATTGTCATGTTGACTGCCGTAAGCGAACGCGGAAGAGTAAGTTACTGACTTACACTGGTGACTCGTTGATCAAAGCTGTTGTATTATTTCGAATTCGTTTTCCCATTGCGGATGGATGCACTTTTTGGAAGTAAGGAATATTATTTGGTTTATTATATTATTATATTATATTATATATTATATTATTATTATTATGTTATTTGGTTTCCCTCACTGATTCCCACTAACTGTAATTTGATGACTCCAAGATATTTGCATTTTTCGTTTGCAGCTTCATTTTGAACGCGGATGATCACTTAAAGCTGTGTGTCTATTTTCTTCCAAACAAACAGGTGAAATGCCATCAGTATTGGCCGGACTTAGGACAGTCATTCAAATTCACCACCACGGCACCAATCGGCCCCGTCGGACAGCGCGATCCACTGAATCTCCAAGTGCAAACCATGAAGGAGGAGGTTAGTTAATATACTTTGCGGATCATGAACTATCGTGCGTTTGCTTCCATGTTAAGTACTGCGGTTTGCCACCACGTCTTGTGTTGTGACACCATAATGTAATCATTATTGACCAACTCTTTGGCAAACAATACTGGCCCTCAAATACTGTGTTCCGTTAAACCTAGCTTGCCTATTGGATCCATGAAGCTAGGTAACGAATGACTGACTGATTTTATTAGGGAATTTTTTTTAACGTTATTGTTGATAGAATGGTATCAGTATCATGCCAAATTCAGGGAAGAGCGTAATTTGAACCAGTCAGTTTCAGTTTTCCTGTTGAACTTGAACTTAATTCTTGCCAGGTTTAGCAACACAAGACTTCGTTGAGAAATGATCTGTAAGTCATGTTGGTTATGACGCTTACAGCTTCCACAATATATAACAGCAGGTTCAGTGACCAATTTGTTCTGTCGCTCCTTTCCTCCTTGAATTCTTGCTGTACCTTTGAGCCGCACATTTGCAGCCACAGATTCCAAAAGGTCTTTCGGCCTACTAGCTGCGACACGAGTGACGATGTGTACAGTGTCTCGTTCGTTCGCGGCACCAGTAAAATGACTGGAGTTATTCGCGGTGACCTTGTCGTCTGAGTAGAAATGCTAAAACCACACCAATTGTTCTTGGTGAATGGATATTAGCGTGTGAATCGGTTTCAACTTTCAAACAAAGCTAGTCGGTGGCATAAAAGATGTGTTGCTCTTATGAATCGTTGGGATTATGCTCGGAATTCACCAATGGAAAGTCTGTCGGCAAGTGGCATCCGTCATTTGTATAACCGGAGATTAACAATTCATCTTCGCCACTGATGATATAAGCGCTCTATTCGACTGTTTACTTCAGTTTTAGTTTCTTATGGGTGGTCATTCTTCTGGGTGAATGTAGGTGGGACGCTTGATGGACATCGACTTCACCAGTTGTGTGCGAACACAGCAATGTAAACGCTTGCACTGGTCTGCTTAGGTATACCGAACCCAAACAGTATTCTGCACCCAGGTGGATCGCCTTGTCAAAAAGCATTGATAGCGCAAGCTAATCCGTAATAAACCGCCAATCATGCCTTGATGTATCGGCTACCTTCCCAAATTTACCTACAATACAGCTCAAATTACAACCCCTGTTACTTTCTCCAGTTCTCGTTCCTCGATTTACTGCAGGTGGGTAATCCTGGATGAAGGAAAAGCAGGGGGCAATCAGCAAGGTGGAAAATACACTTACCACCAAAGCAGCATGCGGGCACATGTACCGATTACCCGATTTCCTGTTAGTCGCCCTAATCCAACCGCATTTCCAACGCTTCTCTGGCGTGGAAGTTGAAAAATGTTTCCTATGCGCCAGTGATCAAAGCTGCGCGTTTGTGTGGCGCGACGAGCCCACGACAGGGCTGGTCACGCCAACATTCACGCTCGTCATCTATCAGTTCATAGAAGGATTCTTTCTGGCGCCGAAGATGGTAATTACCATGCTACACTCTGTTGCCACTGATGCCACCTAGGTGGGTGAATGGACCAACAGACGTAAGCAAGATTCGAAAAGGCAGTGTAATTTGCAAAACATTCCAGAGTAATGATCTGTCTCGAACACTGCATGTAGACTGTGGCGCTCAATAACTATCTGATAGTCGGACGACCAAAACCAAACTGTTCGAAAGTGGGAGAGACATACAAACAAAATAATTTTTTGTACTTGAGGAGCCAACGTGTAGTTACCATTCTCAACAGGTTCGGATCGCACAAGTAGCGTATAAAAGGCTTATAAATTTTACGTGGCATCGCTTGACATTCGCTCACGTAGATAGCCAGCTTCGTCCATGGTCAGACAACAGATGGTATCAGATCTACGAGCAAAGCTTGGCTCGGTGCACAAAGTTGTGTTCTATCACACTCTTTGCCGCTTCATTCGTTTTAACTAGGCTGTTGGAAGAAGCCGTTTGTGTTCAAAAGCTCTCAGTTGTCAGCCTCAAGCTAATATGACCGCAAAGACTTAACTTTCATCATTCAATCTGCTCACAAGGTTGCGCAATCGCACCCACTGCTAAGTGCATACATGCATATTGGTTTTGCTAATGATATTACAGAAGATATTACAGAAGAGTAGTAGGGGGAGTTGAAGGGTAAAGGTAGAAATTCGTCACCTCTAGACTCACTCAGACAGCCGTCACGTGCCCGGAAAGCACTGTACGTTCGTTTCATCCTTTCGGGAATCGTCAGCAGTCCGCATTCCATCGGACCCTGGTAGGGCTTGAACCCGCAACTCGACTGTTGCCAGTCCGTGGTTGTGACCACTGAGCTTCGGGGGACGGCAACGACCATCTTGAATAACTTACTAAATGTGAAATAGCGCCGCTCACCATCCACTGACTTACATGTTACTGCCCTGCAGAGGACAGGGTAGCCCCCTCACCACGCGACGGGCTTGGTGAGGGGGCTAGCCTGTCCTCTGTAAGTATGTATAGTAAGTATAGTGAATAATTCCCTTCATTGCAACTCCAATGGGACTCGTGGATTGGAATGGGGGAACCGAGCAGATCAAATGCTTCCTTTACTCATGGGGAAGATGTGTGATTTGACGAGGCCCTGCTACGTCAGTGCGCTGTGAACGAATTACTAACGACTGACAATATTCGCGTTCATCTGATGATCAAAAATCACACCTCTGCGACCGAGTGAACCACCATCACCAATGTTCCATTCTCCGTTTTTGGTCATACTTTTGTTTTGTCGTCGTCAGAGCTTTTCAACGGACCCGTGGTAAGCCACTGTTATTATTCAAGTCGTAACTCTGGGAGTCGGGAACTGAAAAGCAAGGCGTACTTGTGATCTGTGCTTGTGGTCGCTGTTCTGCTAAACTGATCTGAAACTGAAAGCCGATAAATATTGACTCATCACAGTCAAACCAAAACCATACACATACTCGCATCTGGATGCCTTTGGTTCATGCTAAAATACACATCCAGAGAGCTTATTTTGCATTTTTTAACTCAACCCGGAGTCGCTACTTGTTTTGTCATAACGACTGAATATTAACATTGGATCAGTACGGGTCTGTAGAAAATATTTGACTAGCTTACCCCTAGTATCCGGTTTCTTATTTTGCTAAATCCTTCGAGTTCTACCTACCTTGCCATCAAATTACACCACTTTGATCAGTGATCCTAGCATAAAATCTTCGGCTGGATGGCAGTAATCTGTGGGGCCACGTTCGACAGCTATCTTTCGTAACCCCAGTGTTGTCGAGACAACAGCTGATATGACCACATTCACTTCCATGCGCTGCGGTAGTCGCTCATGGTGTGCTGAAAATATTGTTTGCTACAATAAGGCCACTTATTTTTGATGGCTGAACCAGCGTTCATGTAGATTTGTCATAAGTCACTTTGGACAACCAAAAGATAAAGAGGTATAATTACCAAAAGCACTGTGCTGGTGGATGAATTACCGTGATAGTCCGCTTGAACATTCTGTTGTGGTGGACATAAACTACCATAGCATCTAATCGGATGAGGCTATTTGACGAAGACGCATGGCAACCAGCCGATCTTGAATCAAAATTTGAATCGCACCCCGTATGATTTGTCCAACATCTATCCAGTCTACAACTTAATCAATTGCGACTTGTGGCATTGTCCCTGGGAACAAAATTCTGCTTCTCGCAACCTGTTAGTGGGCAATTTCATGTCGAAACCCAGTTCAAGAATCTAACTCATCATCTAGCCCAACTGACCCCAATATACGCACTTAGCCGTCACACCTTCAAAACCACCCTGATGCATTCCACAACAATACCAAGACTGTAAAGCATGAACCTGAATGTGCTGTCGAAGAAACAGCAGGAAGCCTTCAAAGAATTGAGATGCAACCCAGAGTTAATATTTTCCAGACCAGATAAAGGATCTGGAGCGGAAGTTATGAATAAATCTGAGAACATCTCCAAACTTCGAGCCATTTTAAAAGACTCTGGCAAATTCATTGGTAATGTAATTCAAAAATAGAGAACACCACAGGCTGATAGCAATGACGAACTGATGTAAGGAATTAAAGCAGAAGCATTTGATAAATGACATTTCCCTTAATTGCTTAACCCTAATCGGCTCGCATCCATCCAGACTGTATGCACTGCCAATAGTATCCAAGCCACATGTCATGCTGCGCGAACTCAGTTTAGCAGTTCAAACGATTGTTGGATGTGCATTTCTCAAATGTTAGATTCCGAAAAGCATTACTCGCAAGCGTCTCCCATTTTTGAGTCTACTGTGAGTCAGAGCTTCTAACCATATCAGGTGCGAATGTAAAAAACCAGCAGCGTGTTGACAAACTATTGTTTGAAGCAGTTGGATCTCTTCAACAATTTGAAAAGCACAGAAAGGAGACGAAGCCTGGTAGACGCATGTCTTTCGTATTTTCTCCTCAATACAATTAACGTCAACCAATATGCATAGATATAGCCAAAGTGAGTGCAAACCGACAAGCTTGAGGTGTAGAACGAATAACGGAAGTTCACACCTAGGTTTACGGTAGCTTCAGGCTGATAAATGATTGTTTCTGAACACACAAGGCTGGCTTCATTTGGCTTACAGTGACAGCCTCAGCTAACCGAAGGAAGCAGGGATTAGTGTAACATAACTGTGAACGCTGAGCCCAGCTCTATCCGGTGGCCCGAGTCTAATACGTGTTTGCCTATCGAGGAAGCCGGCGGTCTGCGCTAACACGAATCATTGTCAGATTCCGTGAACTTCCGTCATTCGTTCTGTACCTCAAACTTGTCTGGTTGCACCCACTGTTAGCTATATCTATGCATATCGATTATTGTTAATTGTATTGAGGAGAAAATACGAGATGTATACATCTACCAGCCTTCGTCTCCTTTCCGTGCTTTTCTAATCATGGTTTGTATTCTTAAGGTTTTTGATCATATTTTGATGGAGGGGTACAGATTACATTTCTACTTACTCCTAGAATACAGTA